ACTGAAACAATGGCAAGCTTGTAGAATCCATTCATCAATCTGCCTAAGACAGACAATTGCACAGAGAGAGGCTGAAAACTTTCGGCGAACAATAAGAAATAGCATTCCGAGAAAATCTCTCCAGGCTCCAAAGATTAGCTCATTATTACATTGGTTATAAGTAGAACTGGTTTTCATTTTGTTTTCATTGAATCAGGCTTTGCAGAGTAATTTCGTTTATAGCAATCAATATGTTCTAGACGAAGAATAGTCTTATTAGAATCAGACTTTGTTTAGACATTGAATTTATAATGCTGATTTTTTTTTTTTATCTGTGCAATTAATTAAATTCACCAGCTAAAATTTGGCCTGAAGAAAACCTACTACAGAATTTCTCATAAAAAAATTATAAATTCAGCTAACTAAAATCGCCTAGGGAAATGAAACTGCAAAAAAAGAAATAAAGAAATAACAAATGCACCTGCAAAAACAAATGAATGTGATTTGATTGGATAAACAATCTAGTGCCGATTGCTTTGACTTGAGTCATCAAAAGGTTTTCATTTGAATTTTTGCAGCCAATTTTTTTATGTAAATTTCTGCAGTAGAAATTTTACAGGGAAAAACTTTTACTGAATTTTAAGTAAAAAAAAAAACATCAGTTTTATAAATTCGATGTCAAAACAAATTCCGATTCTAATGAGACTATTTTTTCTTCCATAGTACCGATATCAAACAATCCCTGTTAGGCAGATAAATAAGCTCACCTGTGCACTCCAGCAGAACCTCTCCATCGCTCACCCTCCACACATACGCCTTATCATCCTCTCCACCTGTCACTGCTAGGCTGTTTGTGGCTGGATCCAAACTCACACAAAACACAGAGCCTGGACATGGAGGAATGGTGGGACAGAGCTTCAGTCTGAAGGTTGGCTCAACGTAAAGCTGGCGGAGGAAGAGGAGAAGGGTCCTACCTGTGTGCTTGGAGAAGGTGAGCTCACTGTCATCTTGCTCTGCCTCATCTGCCTCCATCTCATCCTCTGTCTCCCAGCCTGCATCATCTTCCTCTGGGTTTCCAGGGTCCTCAAAGTCCACGTCTCCCAAGTCATCAGCCAGATCATCTAGGAAATAAAAGTTTGCTTTTACATATTGACACCCTCAGATTAAAAATAAATAAATGAAAAAAAAAAAACACATAGGCCAAATGTTTACATGCTGTTGAGTTATGACATCTGAAGCCATGCTAAAGGCTAATTAACCAGACAAGGGGACTTTCTCACTACCTGGTCCGGGTTCTGCGTTGTTCAGGTCGATTACTTCAATTATTTCCTCATCTCCATGAAGCTCAATAGCACTTTCCTCTGCGTTCTCCATGATGCTAACTGGCTAAAACCAATCAACAAAATACACCAAATCTAGTAAATCAGCTAAGCTAGTTTTAAACTACTTACACACGTTAAACGAAAAATATAGGTCGCACTTTTTACTCATAAATGTTACCCTATGATATAAGAACGAAGATGGTCAGGGGAAAAATAACTCCCAAGCCATGATTTCTTCACATGTTGCTGCCTGCGACCGAGAAAACTGCCGCATAATAATGACGGAGCACTCGGTCAACGTTCACGCAGTCGATTGACCACTAGGGTTCCGTGTTTTCTAATGACGTACGTGCAAACGGCGCTGTCATTGGCTAAAAGGGTTAAGCTGAAGGCTCTGATTGGTTATCTGGGAAGAGAGGGCGGGCTTTATTCTTTCATTTAAAGTCAATATAGAACTGAAGTTCCCGAAAGACCCACTAGGGGGTGGTGTTGGCATAATAATAAAAAAAACGTCTACAAGAAAAAAGTATTACCTGTAAATATACCAATTATTATAATTAGACATATAATCTATTATTAGATATTAATTACAATATCACTAATAATATAACATATTTAATTGTAATTTAGGTTTCTGAATTTTTTTGTTGTTGCTGTAATTGTTTTCAAGTCTGATTTAATGAACATCTGCTTTGCCTTCATTCTAGTGATTATATCATTATGATTATATCAAGTTTTTTTTATTATTTATACAGTCGTAGGTATTAGGCCATGAATAGTGGATTTATTTATATTTGTTCAAATAAATAAGGACACTAACTATGATTTCATGACTGTTGATCAGCAAAACTGTGAATAGAATAGAATAGAATAGAATAGAATAGAATAGAATAGAATAGGAAATTCCTTTATTGTCCCATAATGGGGAAATTCTGGAGTTACAGCAACAAAAATATTTTAGAAAATATGGTCACACAAATGTGGACCTTAGAAAAATGTATAAGAATAACATAATAATAATATTAATGAGTTAAAAGAAAAACAACAAAAAAAAACTGTACTGTAAAGTGTTTTAACAATATAAAAATTTTGCACCTGGAGAATAATTAACCAATTTACAGCTATGGACATTTTTACAGTAATGGACATTTGAAAAATAGCAGCAATGTCAGAGATGTGCAAAATGACAGCAGCATGTTATATAACTGACTATGGTAGCAACTGCAAAGTATGAATGTGACAACTTATTGAGGTTGTTGGCTGCAGTGGTGGTTATAGAGTTTTACAGCTGCAGGGAGGAAGGATCTGTGATAACGCTCCCTGGTGCATTTAGGGTGCAGCAGTGTGATGCTGAAGGAGTTCTCCAGTTCTGCAACAGCTTCATGCATGGGGTGGGAGACATTATCTAACAGAGATGTTAATTTATAATTTTTTTATATATTTTATTTATCCATTGAATAAATTAGGGCTACCCTATTTTCTGTGTTTTGTTTTCTATGTCTCTAAAAGCTCTCTGCTCACTCTTATTCACACAGCAGCTTGAAATGATTTTCCTTCTTCTGATCAACATTCATTTTCCTTCTCTTGAGACTTGGAGGAGGGATAATGTGGTGTCATTAAAAACTGTAATTTATCTGCAAGGTATTAAAAGAGTCACAGAGGAATTTCCAACTTTGAGGCGCCGTTCATTAAAGAATTTCATCATATGTTAGTGGTCATTAAGACTACCTCAACAAAAATGGTTTAATCACGCAGCGTTCCAGGCGCTTTCTTATCCTTTTTGCAAATCTTAAGACGCATCTCTGCCAAGCTTTATTAAAGCAGAGTCTGATTTCTGTGTGTCTTGGGAACAGTCTGAAAACTTTTCTTCCCCAGATGTCTGACTGTACACTCCTAACTTGTAGACATAAGCAGTAAAACCACAGGGAAAACATCATTAGCAGCAGGGCTGCTCTCCATTTAAAAAGAAGCTGGTTCTCCCTACCTTAATCCCTCCTTCAAAACATTCCCCTGCCAGGAATATTTTATGAACACTTAACACAGTTTGTCTACTTCAGGTCTTTCTTGGTCAGATTTATACACCCCTGGCTATATGCTGCTGGCAGAACTCACATGCTGAATGCCCCAATAAGTTTTACAGGCTGCCCGGGCCCCTACGTTTCTAGCCTTCCCTGGAAAAATACAAGCATCCCAGTGTGAGAGAGATGTGGAAATATCAGGGTGTAGGTTATTTAGGTGTTTTTAATCTGTGGCAAGAAACACATTTTTAAACTCTAGACTATTGCTGGAATATGCAATTCAAAATTAACATTTGGTATTTAAACAATTTGTTACTTTCTCTACTTTTTTCATCAGTCGCTTTCACTGGTTGTCAAGCATAAAGTAATTTTCTGCCTCCAAGATTTTCTTCTTAAATTTCAAGATGAAATTAATTTCAGGATTAGGCAAACATAATCTGATTAGCTAAAGAGAAAAGGTTTTAAATCAGTTTCAATTCAATTAAATGAAAGCTTTTTAAAACTAACCTGGCATGTGAAAAAGTAATTTCCTAAACCCTGATTGAACTGTTTTTTATTTTTGGTTTTTATTTTTTTTCCAAGAGAGAAGAATTTCTGTTTCTTTTCATAACATCAAGTGATCCTGATTCTAAAGAGGTAAATCAGCATTAGACCATCACAATGATCCTGATTTTCTTTTTCTAAAATGCTGTTTTTGCTTTTTTGCTAGATTAGTTCCATGTTTTATTTTGTTATTTTGTTATTGAATCATGAACTCAGATCTTAAATAAAAAAATAAAAATAAAAAAATAAAATAATAAACAAGACTGTCAAGCAGTGGTGGTCCTAGACTAAATTTACCAGGGGGGCCAGGGTGGGGTCTCTATTTTTAATAACAAATACAATTGTAAAAAAAAAAAAAAGTATAAAAGTATATAAAGTGAGCCACAAAGCCATAGTTGAAGACTAATCATCTAACTGATAAAAGCTGTTGTTGCATCTTAATACGGATGAAGCATAAAGGTGACGGAAATTTTTTAATACCGTTTTTTCCGGACCATATGTCGCTACTTTTTTCCCTCACTTTGAAACATGTGGCTTATAAAAATGTGTAGATTTTTGCTAACTGCCAGAGGGGGATATAGGGGTTAGAGGCTATATATAGCCTCTAATATACAAGCCCGGTGTGGCTTATATGTGTACGCAGGCCTGCCGACAGAGGGGACAAAGGGGTCAATTGTCCCAGGCCTAGGACAGACGGGGACCCAAAATTGATACTCTAAACATTAAAAATACAGGCAGAAGTAATTTGTGAGAAAATATTTGTGATAAAAATATTTAATACTAGAGTAACTATAATAAGAGCAGGTCCAGAAACGGAATTGCAGAAGAATGATGCCCATCAGAGCTAAGAAAGAAGCAATGCATTTATCAATGTGATTTTAAAGTATAGCATCCACTAGCTAGTGTAAGGAGGAAAACATATTTTCTTTTACAGAAATATTTGAGCTAAAAGACTAGTGCGAGTGAGTGAGACAGTGCAGGTGGAGGGGCTTGCTGAGGGGCTCAGAGACGGATTAATGCCGTTAATTTCAATGAACTGTTTCTGATTGAGTGAATGTTTTTCATGGCAAAAAGGAAGCCTTTCTCAGAGATGGCAAATGGACTGCCAATAGATCCAGCGGTCCAAAGTATCTGACCTATTATACCTCCCACAATGGAAGGGAAAAAATTGTTAGGGACTGGAGATTTACAACAGGTCAAAAAAGGCCTTATATTGTGCCTGCTGTGCTTGCTGTCCTCCTGTGAAGTAGAGAAAAGATTAACTGCACTAAATTCAAAAGATGGGATGAAAATATCCAACATAAAATACAGAAAGCTTTATGAAAGATTTCCAGGGCATAAAAGAAACTGTGCACACAAACACTATTATTGGAAATGGAAGAACCAGTTACATATTTTCCTATCTGTACCTGTGACTGGCTGGAGGTGAACGGGCCTACAGTAAAATGAAGATAATAAAAAACTACCTGGGCTCCAGGATGTCCCAGGAAAGGTTAAATGATCTGGCAATGCCGTCTAAAGAGCATCAGCTTGCCAAGAAATTAGACTTTGAGGACATCATAAATGGCTTTACCACTATAAAAGTTCATAGTTTAGCATATGGAGACCAAGTCTAAGCACATATTTGAAGTGAAGTCAGCTAACATTGTTTGGAGGACAAGAACTATTTCTGTAAATAGCAGATTATTGAATAAAATTATAGGCAAAGGAGAATGAATTATGCAGTAAAGTGGACTTTTGTGTTTGTGTGAATGTGAGTGTGTGTGTGTGGTCTTGTTTTACCTACAATGTGAGGGAAGTATTTTGTATAATATCCTACATGCAAGGACTCACAGGTACATACAGTAATGGGACATTCAACTGGTCCCTATATGGTAAAGTTCTGTTCTTTGAGTTGGGGTTAGGTTTAGGACTAAGGCGTGAATTCAGTTTAGGTCAGGATTAGGTACATCTTGGTAATAGTTAGGGTTAAGGTAAGGGTAAGGGTAAGGGTCTGGGTTAGGCCATATAAAATGATGCAAGTCAATGAAATGTCCCCATGTGTCGTGTGTGTGTGTGTGTGTGTGTGTGTGTGTGTGGTGGGGGGGGCGTATTTGGGGGGTGGGGACTGCCCTAGCAAAGCTGTCAGCTGGCCTTTATGTTTGTTTCTTTTTTTTTTTTTTCCAAAAAAAACACTAGTGACTATGGAAAATATGGTAATTGTTAAATTAAATTTTAAAGTTGAATCATTAAATATCCCCAAGGGATGAATCAGTTGCAAAATATTTCCATCTAACCATGCTTTAGCCACACTGCAAAAAAAAAATTATAAAAATAAATAAATAAAATCACAGTGTCCATTTTTAATGAGTGCATAAGAAGTGCATTTTTTCTTGAATAGAGCAGGTAAGTAACAAACTTTGCAAATGAAATGAGACAATTTACATTTAAAATAGGAAAAACAACTGCAGTCTCTCATCTCAAGTGCAAAACATTAATTCCTCTCATTTACCTACACAAAAAAGGGTAAAAACACTTATTTTAAGAAATTTTTACCCATTTTTTAGATAATTTTTTGCAGTCCAAAAAAAATCTTTTTGAGATAGATACTATAAGCAAAAGCAGATTCTATTGAATTATTAATATGCTATTAATTCTTCTCAAAATAAGTGCAATAATCTGCCAATGCAGTGAGATCAACTTTGTGACTTTTTGGCTAGATCTAAAATTGTAAGA